AGGGGGCCTGACTCCAGGGACTCAGCAGGAGGGATGGGGGCTGATTCCTGGGTCTGAAGGGGAGGTCAGAGGTCTGGACTGCTGTAGCAGAAAGAGTGTGGCTGGAGTCTAGAACCCTGGGTCTGAGAGAGAAATTCCAAACTCTGCTCCTGGGTCCACAGGAGGATGGCTGGAACCTGAGCTGTTGGGTATGAGGGTTTGGGTTTTTTGTTGTTGTTTTATCATTTATTCTTTTTTAATAATTTATTTAATTAAATATTTAATTATTTAATTAAATAATAATTAATTTATGGTATGATGGTATCAGGTCTCCTGGAATCAGAGTTACAGAGAGTTGTTAGCTGACATGTGGGTGCTGGGATTTGAACCTTTGTCCTCTGGAAGAGCAGTCAGTGCTCTTAACCCCTGAGCCATCTCTCCTGCCCCCTCTTTTATGCTTTGTTTGTTTTTTGTTTTTGTTTACTGAATTATCCCCTTCCCCTGACTGAATCTTCATCTTCTAGGTGGGGTCAATAAAATTTTTTACATTAAAGGATGTCTGGACTCAACTGCTCCAGACATATTTAAGAGAGAAGAAAGAATAGGGATCTTCTCAGTTGTGGAAACAGCGAAGTCACTGACTGCAAACTCATTCTCACATCTGTTTGTCCCTGGCACCTCCCTGGCTTGGGTGTTAGGGCTGGGGCTCTTCTTAACTCTTCATCTGTCAGGCTTTGTTTTCTCTGATGAACCTGTTTCCATGTCATTCCTCGTCCCTGTTGGCCCCCATACCCTGCTGTCCTCTGCTGTCATAACCTAAGACCTCACACTTGGAACTGTGGATGGTGCTGTCGCAGTGCTGACAACCCCTCACCCCACACATTGCTGCCTCTTGTATTTACATATGAGAGCCCCTGACCTCACTGTGCAGAGAGGGGACATCCACATATTGGTCACAAATGTGGAATAATAAACTCATTGTTTTTTCTTCAAATGCTTGGTTTTTGTTTTGGGTTTTTTCTTTTATTTTAGTTAGAAGATTATTTTACATGTCAATCCCAGGTCCCTCTCCCTCCCCTCCTCCCTTGCCCTCCCCAACTAACATCCTACCTATCCCATACCGTTTCTGTTCCATATTCTTGGGATAGGGTCTAGGCCAACCCCCCTTGTGTCTTGGCTCAGGGAGTATCCCTCCATGTGGGATGGGCTCCTAAAGTCTATTCCTATGGTAGCAATAAGTACTGGTCCACTACAAGAGGTCCCATAGATTTCCAAGGTCTCCTCACTGACACCCACATTCAGGGGGTCTGGATCACTCCCATGCTGGTTTCCCAGCTATCCGTCTGGGAACCAACAGCTCTCCCTTGTTCAAGTCAGCTGCTTCTGTGGGTTTCACCAGCCTGGTATGGACCCCTTTGCTCATCAGTCCTCCTTCTCTGCAACTGGATTCCAGTTCAGTTCAAGGTTTAGCTGTGGGTGTCTGCTTCTACTTCCACCATTTGCTGGATGAGGGCTATAGGATGGCATATAAATCAATCATCAATCTCATTATCAGGGGAGGCATTTAAGGTAGCCTCTACTCTGTTGCTTAGATTGTTAGTTGCTGTCATCTTTGTAGCTCTCCAGACATTTCCCTTGTGACTGATTTCTCCTTAAAGCTATAATGCCTCCCTCTATTATAGTATGTCTTATCTTGCTCTTTCTGTTCTTCAAAAATATGGAATGCTTCATGAATTTACATGTCATCCTTACAGAGGGGCCATTCTGATCTTCTCTGTATTGTTCCCATTATAGTATATGTGCTGATGAAGTGAGCACCAAGTGCTTGTTTTTCTATAGGACTAGATGAACAACACTAGTGGATTCCAATGAGAGGCCCCACTGCCAAGGCCTGGCTTCCATGATAGCTGGCAAAATGTTTCCAGGGAAGACTCAACACACACACACACACACACACACACACACACACACACACCTCTACACCGCAGATTGGAACCCCTTGACCAAAGTATGGACGTCAACACAGTCCAATTTGATGAACCAATGGGTGTTATATCAGTGTCATTTACACGAATATGTGTGGGTCAGGAATCACCTAACAGTAGCAGAAATGACTCAAAAGCAGCTCATCACCAGAGCCCACCCGTGAATGAGTGACAGCTCACAGAGCTGGGAAACCCAGAGCACACTGCAAAGCCTGCAGGCAGCTCAGCAGGCTGGAGGTGTCTTTTCCAGGTGCCTCAGTTGGTCTAAATCTCTTGCAGGTGTCTCCTCTGGGTCCTGTTTCTTCAAGTCAGCTGGTCTGGTCTGAGTCTCCTTTGCAACTTTTACTGCCTGCCCTGTCAGAGAGGGGCCTGGGGGTCTGGTTGGCTTCCGAGACTTCCTGAAACTATTTTGACTTGTTCTGCTTCCTGCTTAAGGAACTTCCTTGCACGGTGGAATGTTTCCAAAAAGAGCTGACTGGACTCCTGTGGAAACATTAGATTTGAGTAGATTTAGGAAGTAATGGTTTCATGTGGTATGCATTCACCTTTTGTAGGGCAGATGTTAAACTCATGGTCAACTTGTAACAGAAGTAACTATCCCACAAGACTGGGGAGACTTGATTAGAGCAGTATTGTTGGCTGGTCCTCAATTACAGTGGTGGACCTGGTGGAAGAATGAGTTTAGGGCCATTGAACAGTGAAGTAGGGCTACAGGCATTGAAATTTCCAAAGATCACTTTCTCAGAGAGGGTGATGTACAAAGACAGTCTAAAAACGATAAAGACACATTGTCTCTGTGCTATGCAACAGCTTTGAATGCTTGATTGTATCCTAGTCGTTCTACCTTCTGCCTCTTCTCCTACTGGAATTCTTACACAGAGAGGAGATAATACTTTGGAATGGGTATTTTTGCCACACTAATAGGACAAAAATTAAAAACCTATGTAGAAAAGGTTTCTGAATTGATTCTAAAAGGAAATAGAGAATTCCAAAATTACCAGAAATGAACCCAACAGAAATTATAGTACCTCTGACCAATGCTGAAATATCCTCATTATGGGTAGAAAATAAACAATGACAAAGAGTTTTCAGTAATTTTGGGGGGAGAAATTAGCAAACATTATGTCAAATGCAAGAGAGTTCAAGTTATAAAAAGAACCAATAGGGTATTTCCTCACATTTTGTAGGGAACACCAATATCTAGAGTCCCTACATTTAATACTGATGCAAATAAATCAGGAAAGGCAGGTTATAAAACAGAAAAGTTAAGTAAAGTGCCTCAAAGCCCTTATGATTCCATTCAAAAGTCAAAATTATATTTTACTCTCCTAGTATTATTGGATTTCCCAGATACTCTTAATATAGTTGCTGATTTGCAATGCACAAAAAGAGTTGCTTTACACATTGACTTATTCCTGATGATTCAAAATTCAAAAGGAAAACCCTAAGAGGGACACATGGATCAGCGTGGGAAGGGGAAATAGATGAGATCTCCCGGATAAACAGGGGGTGGGAGGGGAGGGAATGGGAACATGAGGGATTAAGATGGCCAAGTCCGGGGAGGGCTGGAGGGGGAAGCAATGAGAAACATATCTTTATAGAGGATGCCATTATGAGGTGGGAGGAACCTGGTGAAAGGGAAATCCCCAGGAATCCACAAAGATGACCCCAGCTAAGACTGCTAGCAATAGAGAGGAGAGGGTTGCCTGATCCGGCCTTCCCCAATAATCGTGTTAGTGACTACCCTAATTCTCATGATAGAACCTACATCCAGTAACTCATGGAAGCAGATGCAGAGATCCACAGTCAAGCACTGGGTTGAGCTCCTGGAGTTCAGCTGAAGAGAGGGAGGAGGGATCATACGAGCAAGGGAGGTTAAGACCACTCAGGGAAAAACCCGAGACAGTTGACCCAAGCTAGCGGGAGCTCATAATCCCTGGGTTGACAGCTGTGGAACCTGCATGCGACTGAACTAGACCCTCCGAATGGGGGTGACTGTAGATGGAAGTTTCTGTCTCACCCAGTCCCACAACCCTTTAGTCTGGCAAGAGCAGTTTCTTGTCCAAATAGCAATCCCTGCCATCTCAAAGGCAAACTCCATAACAAATTTCTTTGATGCCCATCTTCCTCTCTGATGTAATTGGTGTTGCCAGGAGCAATCCTAATAGACCACTTTAAATGCCATATTCTGTAGGTCTTTGATAGGTTTTGAAGAATCCTTCAAATATCCATATGAAATATATCTCTATATACCTAGAAAACCTGACTAACTCCCAGCTATCGCGAGGCAGAGGCAGGCGGATCTCTGTGAGTTCGAGGCCAGCCTGGTCTCCAGAGCGAGTGCCAGGATAGGCTCCAAAGCTACACAGAGAAACCCTTTCTGGAAAAACCAGAAAAAGAAAAAGAAGAAAACCTGACTAACATAAGTTTTGACTATTATAGGTGACTATCTATACTCTATATTTCATTATACATTACATTTTAATGAGCTATATGCACAAAATACCTAAATGAGTAGAAATATACATAACAAAACTGACCTTACTTTGTTTATGTAATCCAAAAAATCCATACCAATGCAAAGTATTCACTTTATATCATGGTCCCTTTTTTTTTCTTTATAAAGGGATTGATCACTAACCATTTATAACCAAACCAGTTTAAATGAAAACAAACACTTATAAGCAATATCTGGGAATTTGGTCATAGTTCTCTCCAAACTGTTCTTTGTTCCTACTGCTTTCCCACTTGTCCAGCACATTTTCTTTCATCCTAGTGGCCTTGGGAGCTGTGGTGTGTCACACAGTACACACTTTGGTCCAATCAGCTTTACTTGCCAATGCTCATTGCAGTGAGTCGTTGGTCTAGCTCAAGGCCTCTGGTTTTTGGGTCAGAAGACTCTGTCTCAAAAGATAACATACAACTGAAGCACATCACATGAACTTAGGAAAACATTTCAGTGCAGTTAATTATGTTGTACTTAATTAATATGTTACTGTGTAAAGAAAAGTGAGGGCCAGAAAAATAACTCAGCAAGTGAAGGCAACTGTCCACGAGCCGGAAAGCCAGAGTTTCATTTTTGGACTAACAGTGGGAGTAGAAAAATGATTCCCCAAATTGTCCCCCGTACGGTGAGCCTTGATATATGATTCTCAACACACGCACACAAGAATATTTAAATGTAATAACAGAACTGACAATTATCTATAATCTGAGTGGTCATTATAACAGTGGTGAACAGATTAAGTATCCATGTGGTGTCACTTGCTCACTGCTCATGGGTACAATTTACAAGCAATTTGAGTAACAGGGCAAATGACAATGCACCACAAAGTCTCCAGGATACCATGTAATCCTGCAATTGGCAGGTGACCTCGGCAGCAACTGCCACTGACCCCACAGACCCTAGCCCAACACTCATTTACTGCACATGAGTTCCTCCTGAAGAGGAGAGTTGTAGCAGAAGCTGCCCGCTTAGAGTAGAGAGTTTCAGGTGGCTGGGTTTCGCTTTCAGTTTCACTTTCAGCATGCTGCACAGACTGCAGCCACGCCGGCTGGCTAGGTCACTCTGTAAGTAAGGCTTTTGCCTATTAAAAACCCTTATATTTCTACTTGGCGCCGTATTGGCAATTTCCCACTTTATCTGGTTGTCAGGAGCGGGATATTGGAAAACTACTTGGGACAGGCTGTGGGTTCAACCGGGCCTGCGGCCTAGGTTGGGAAAGCTCCCTCTCTCCACAGGTGCTCCCTGCTCCCAGCCAACCCACTGTGCCACACAAGAGCATTCCCTCTGCAGCTGAGCTGCTCAGAACCGTCCACCCAGCTTGTAGACAGTTTCTAGCTGCCTTGAGTCAAGTAGGTCTCGACTTTCAGCAGCGGCTTCCCCTTCCCCTGGCTGCTGCTGTGATAAAGCCACATCTCTTTAAGTGGTTGCTGCTGCAACTCTTATACTTTCTAAGATAAGAGCAGCCACTTTGTGAACTCACTCCACTGCTGCCACTGACCTCTGCCAAACACCGCACCGAGTAGCTGAACGCCTGTGCACCTGCTGGTCAAAGATAGTTACTGCACCTGGAGTAGAAATCAGGCAAAAATTATGGCGGAATATTTATCATTTGCTAAAATTGTAATATTTTTGCTTATTATGTGAATTCAGTATTTGAGGAGGAGGCTAATCTGCCAATTACTGGCCTATATACCATAATGGCAGTTAGCTTGCTGGTACAAATAATACTACTAGCCAGAGGGCTCAGGAACAGGGACGGAGATAACCTCACCATTTGCAGGAAATAACAGCTTTATGCAATGAGGTTTTGGAGAAAAGATTAGGTCAGACCATAATTATGCAGCAAGGAGAACAGAAATTGGATGATAAACTTGGCTCTGTGTCCAATACGCTAAAGACAGAGCTGTCTATTACTCAAGATGAGATGCAGCACATTTATGATAAGATAAACACAGAGAGATCCTCCATGTCTAAGGCCTTAGAGGCTAGGCTGTCAGAAGAACGTGATGAGCTAAAGAATATCTGTAGCCAGCTAGAAACTCAGATAGGC